CTCAGCCGGTAGAGCGAATTCGGAGGTGGTGCTCATGCACAAGTGTCTTCTTTTGGTTTGCGCACCAGCCTCCTTCTTATTTTCTTTTTCTCTGAGCTCGGGGAACTCAGAGCACTTTTTCTTTTCTTCTCTTCAGCCTGTCTCGGAACATGGGACTCAACAGGTAAGTTCTCGCCACCGGATGGAGGCCTCAGTTCTGCATCTTTGGATAAACCTGCAAAAAGAAGTAAAGGGAGTAAGGACTTAAAGATAAAAGAGGAATCCAAATATCACCTACTCAGGAAAGGAGTCTCACCGTGGGAACGGGCCTCCCAACGGCCCTTCGAGAGATTGCGCCATGAGCGCTCGGAGTATGGCATATGTGATACGATACCCTCAACCCACTCCTTGAGTCGAGGACATCATTCGGGACCTGAGCGACGGTTGCACCACCACAAAACACCAATAAGAAAGAAGGAAATAAGTATAAAATTGACTTTCGAAAGTAAAATTATACTTACGTGATGTATTCTACTTCTCGGGGAATGACATGTACTTGACTGGGATCAAGTCCGAAATCCTTACTCAGACAAAATGACCTTGCCAACCCCGATCCCGGTCCTCATCAATACTTGAGAACGGGGCTTTACTGGCCCGCCGTACAAGCTTTGTCAGTCCCCACTCGGAAGATTCGGGGACTGTATAAGCGTAGAAGATGGTCGATGGTGAACGAACATCCATTGATTTTGTTCACAAAGAATCGGAGGAGGATCACGATCCTCCAGAGCGACTAGTGAATCTGGCCTAGGCACACGTTGTACTTTCTGCAGAAATCCAAAATGACCGGATCCACCTAGCCAAATGTAAAGGGATAAGTGTAAATACTTAGGTATCCCTCGACATGGGTGGTAATGGCTTCATCGGGTTCGGGAACCACTATGTCCTTATCGGCCTAGTTACAGTCTTTTCGGACCGTGGGGGAGGATTTCTTCAGTGATCGAGCAGATGTATCTCGAGACCTCCTCATACCGGCCTTGTACGGAGGAAGTTTTTTCAACCTTGATATTGGCGTTGACCGAGCATCCTCCGGGGATGAACATTTTCAAAGGAGGTTCAGGTACCGGTTTATCGAAGGCAGCGCGCGAAACGGTCTCCTCGGCTTCAGTAGCCGGCCACGAAGTGGAATGGGCTTCTTTTTGGGGAACAATTTTAGAAATTTTTGCCATTTATTTAGAAAATAGAGGGAAAATGGGGAAGGAAAGGATGTTGAAGGATCGTACTTGTTGGCTTGAGGTGAAGATGGACAAGAAATCTTGCAAAGGATCTCAAATAAACTAGAGTAAAAGTGCTAGAAAGTATTGAAAATTTAAAGGTACGAGGGTAGAAAGGTTGGATATAAAGTTAAAATGAACGAACAAAAGGGTATTTATAGTATTTCAAAGGCTGTTCGCATCTAGGAATGCCCGACCGGCGGCTAACATGCATTTAATGCCATTGAGACTTGACTGACGAGATATTTTGGTTGTTTTGTCGTTTCTGTCACGATGTATCGAAGTAAGAATCGGAAGCTCATATTATTTCTCGCCATCAACTCTCCGAAAAACGAGGGGATTATCTGTATGCGGGTGAAGTCGAACTCGTGGTGCATCCTAGCTTCCGACAGGTGAGCCAGGCTCGAGACATGACAATAAAAGACTGAAGATCGACCCCAAGTCTCACCGGGCTAGAACCCGGGGGTAGAACGCCTGTCTTCGAGAATATCGAAGCCATGGTCCCGGAATTTGTCCTAGCCTCGAACGACTTCGAATAAATGTTGTCAACATAGTCTACAAGAGATCGAAATATCCGTGACCGGCCGGATATTACGGCGGGGATCTCGGCACGTATCAATAAGGAACCGATAATCAGTAAATCAAGAGATCCTTTACCTTTTATAGAATTGTACCTAAAGTATGACTCCCCTACTATATAAAGGGGGTTTGATAATTTATTAGACACATTGTAACACGCATTCCAAGGCAATATATCATTATTTGTTTCTGTTATTAGTTCTTTTGCTTTCGTTCATGAGTACTTGTTTTTACGAGCCCAGATCGAGGGCAAATATTTCACTAAGGCTTAAATCATCTTTTCTCGTGTGGTTTGAGCGTACTTCATCCTTATTTATTTAATTTGTCTTTATTTAATGCTTTGTGTCAAATAAATTCGCGTATCCTTAAAACCACTTACAAATTTAATTGTTATATGATTTCGATGGTAAACATGCATATTAAACTAAATTAATGATGTAAAAATATTTAGGGAAATGTACAAAGATACGTGGTCAAACTGAATTAGTTAAAATAATAACAGTTAGCACTCTATAATTACTCCGTTAAAACTTATATTACTGACTAAACAAATTAATGACCGTTCATAGTATTAAAAATAAATTCAGCCACTAGCTCTAGCCGTTTGACTGAATCAATAAGTTAATAACCGACAAACAATTGTACTCCAATATATTAGCGAATGTGTCTGCTGACATGACTTTCATTTAATTTACCATTTTTTTTTATTTTTCATAATTCCATAATTTTTAAAATTAGGACACTAGTTTTTTTATTTTTCTCTTCCATTCTTCCACAGTAAAAAGAATGCATAGCAAAAAGAATACTTAACATAGAAGTATTTCGTCTTTGATTTAGAAATTCGAGGCTTCTTCCTATATTTGAGTAAAAAATTTATTCGATGTGTTGTAAAAAAATATTTAGATAATCAAATTACTTATAAGATAATATAAGTATTAGCAATAACACAATAACAATAGTAGCTAACTTACTATTACCTCAACCCTATTCGTTTCAGTTTCTCTTAAGAATTTCTTCCTATTACTCCACTAGGTTGCCACATTTTATCACCTTTATTTAACTAAATATTTTAAGACAGAATGCTTCATTTGGGAATGGTGGAAACAACTGAATAATCAACAACATATATGGTAGAGTTAAAAAATATTTTGGCGGTCAACTAAGGATCTTGGATTACTTTCAAAGTTAGGAACTAATTTGTAGATTATAATTTTAGTACATTTGTTTTAATTTCACTTGTATGAGTTTGCTCGTATTATCAATGTCAAGTTCGAATAAAGGAGTAGGATTGCAGTAGGTTGACAACCAACAAAAAACTTGTCAATTCATGATATAATACATACTTCATATCGTCAACCCCTATTCGTTTGAGATTGGAATATAATAATTATTGTTTATACTTTTAGTATATTTTTCAGTAGTTTTATTTTATCAGGTATGTAACTTGTTATTAAACCCATGTATGGAATTTATTTGATAAATCAGCTACAGTATCTATCATGTATGTTTTTCTGGAAAGGACGAAAAAGAAGAATATGCATAACTTAAATGCAACTAATTGCCCAATTTATGTTGTAAATTGCTCCAAATCCTCGAGCCATTAAAAGGTTACAGGATTTGCCCTTTGAAAGAGAGAAAAGTACTACTTGTACACACGCGTGTACAATAAATACATACACGATTTGCTCTTTGTTGCAACACCTTTAACAAAAGGGGAAAAACACAATAGGGTAAAATGCCGAGTCACAATCCATGACCCGCTCGCAAATAATAACAACAAACTATGTATAATTTTACAAGTGAAATTTAAAAATGGTAGTATTTACGCATATCTTACTCCATTATGAAGCAAGATAAACTATTTTCGATAAACTTTCGACTCAAAAACAGATAAAAAAGAAGCATTACCTAAAAATAGTAACAATCAACAAAATAAGATGATATGAAAATCGAAGCAAAAGAAACAGCAAATAGTTATAAGAATAAAAGAATACGAGAATAATACTAATACTACATGAATGAAAATGAGATACATTTGACTACACTAGCCATTGGATCAAAAATATTTTGTTTTCTAGTTTAATACATAGTTACGCCAATTAATATGTTTCAATTCCAACTAAATTTTGATCAATTATATGTATTCTCAGTTTTTATGTATGCTAGAAATATTTTTTTGAAATATATTTTTACTAATATAAAAATCTCGAAAAAATAACCTAGCGAACATTGAATTTAAACTAAATATATTAACATGATTAAAATCTAATTAGTTAGTATATTACTTATATAGACATAATTGTCGAGTTTATGTGTCTATAATAAAGTTGTTAGTGCTGTGACGAAAATGAATATAAAACCCCTATATAAAACCCCTAGCTAGCTGACAACAAACTTTTCCATTGTTGATTTTGCTGTATTCCTTTACGAGTCTTTACCTATATTTTGTTTTGTCATGTATATAAAATTGGACACCAAAATATATTTTTAATTATATTCCTCGAACTGCTGCAAATAATAACCAGCATGCTGTCATCGCAAAATTTAAAACCAATAAAACAAAAACCATAATAAAAAATTACCCAAATGTCATTCAATGAAACCTTAATTTACTCATTGCAACTGAAATTCTAAATTGACAAGTTTCAAGCCCAAAATTTAAGGTCTGTCTGGACAGAAAACAGACAATTATTTTGTTCTTTACAAATAATTACAGAAAGAAATTTATATTAATGAAACGGCGGAACAACTTGGTGCACTAAGCTCCCGATATGCGCAGGGTTCAGGAAAGGATCAGACCACAATGGTTAATTATACACAGTCTTACTCTACATTTTTATAAGAGTCTGTTTCCACGACTCGAACACGTGATCTCCTAGTCACATGATAACAATTTTAACAGTTACGCCATCATCTTTATATAAGTAAGATAAATATAAATTTATATTAATGAAACAAAACCAAATTAGTATTTTGGGTCTTCCTTATCATTTCTACAAAGTAAAGGTTATAATACAATATATTTTCAACTAATAATTAATCATACAATGGTTTGCGTAAGCCACTCATTTTATATAATGGATGAAAAAGGCAATGGTATTTCAGTAATTCCAACAAAAAGCAAAACTCCTTTCATAAAACACCATGATATTTTATAACAAGTGTAACATTTTTTCAATTAAACAAAACCATAAAATATTAATCTAATCCAAACTCCACCCACCCTTACCTATTCTTATTCACTTTATATTATATTAAATTATACCATATACATTTCATATCATCCTCTTGAATATTTCTACTTTATTATTCATAGTGTCCAAACAAATACAAGAACTTTGCTTTACAAAAAGTATACAGATTTTTGGTTCACTCTGTAAGAAGAAGCTAAAAAAGTAACCTTTGCCCAGAACCACAAAAACCCAGTTCAGAGAAAATTCAAGAACTGAGATTTTTCTATATTTTCCACATTTTTTAATTCTCATTGTTCTTAATTCTCAAAAGGGTGTCTTCAAGATTGGTAAAGTTTCAATTTTTTCACCTCAGTGGGTGGTAAAGTTTCAATCTTTACATCATTTTTGTATAATGTGGAGGAGTCTGATCGGAGAAACGCCGTCCACGGCGGCGATTTGATGGGTCCGAGGTTGTTGTTAGCAGAGTTGTGTTTTGTTAAACGCAGCGTTTCATGGAGTTGAAGATTTGGTGTAGTAGTAGTAGTAGTAGTAGTAGTAGTAGTAGTAGTAGTAGTAGTAGTAGTAGTACTTTAAGTGTTCATTCAAAATCCAGCTCTTCAGCTAAGCTTCGATTTGCTATATTTTTCCCTCAGGTAAGCTTTTTTTAAATTTTAAAATAAGGGGATTTAGGGTTTATTATTTCATTTTTTTGGTTAATTGTGTTTTTATTTTTGGGAGAATATGCTGGTATCTTAATACTAGAAATGTTGAGTTTTGGGAAGCTGTTGGGATAGTTGGAAAATTATCTGAAGTTATAAAGAGGAAAATTTTAAGGTGTTTTCTTACTTGTAAAAGATTTTGGAGACTTTGGGATTGTTTTTTTGGATCTACTGAAGTTATGTTGCTCTTTTACCCTCAAGAACTTGTTGCATTTTATGGTAATTTCCATTTATAAGATCTTCTTGTTCCTTATGAAGTTTCATTTTCTACTTCTTTTTTATTTTGGGTAATGGGTATTTTGATAAACTTTGTATATTTGATTAATTAGCTCAAATAAGGGTAAAAGTTTTCACCTTTGTGATTGAATTGGAGTTTAAAGATTGAGGCTTTCTGCTTGAGGGGTTAATATCTTTATTTTCCCTGATAGTCATGGACTTTATTCAGCTTGGGGTAGTTGTTAATTTTTTGTAAGTTTCTTAACCAGCTCTAGTAAGCTTTAGTGTTTGTAAGGTTCTTGGCCAGCTCTAGTAAGCTTGTGGATTTGGTTTGAACTGCTTATGGATTTCAACCATTGATGTAGATTTTGGAGATTAGCTGTTAATCTTTGGAAGAGACATTTAAAAAAAATGCTTTCCTGTGGATTTGGTTTGAACTGCTTATGGATTTCAACCATTGATGTAGATTTTGGAGATTAGCTGTTAATCTTTGGAAGAGACATTTAAAAAAAATGCTTTCCTGTGGATTTGGTTTGAACTGCTTATGGATTTCAACCATTGATGTAGATTTTGGAGATTAGCTGTTAATCTTTGGAAGAGACATTTAAAAAAAATGCTTTTTTAAGTTTTGAGCATCTATTTCTTAATCTTAATTTGCTCGAGGCATAGTTTTTCCCTGCTCCATTGGTTAAGGTGTTACGGTGATAACATTTAGGAAATGAAAAGCTAAATTTTGATTGATGTTGTTTCTGAAATTTTCTGTATCTTGCCTCTCTTAGGTTCTATTGCTACTAGTGTGTTTAGAGACCAGTTTAGCAACTTTGCCGGACCATGAATTGTTGAGACAAGAAGATAAGAGTACCATATCCCATTCTTGCATCCATGATCAGATAATTGAACAAAGAAAAAGACCTGGTTTGCAAGTGTATTCCATCACCCCGCAGGTGTATGAGGAGTCTGTGGTTTCAAATCTGCCTCACCGTAGAGGAAGGGCATTGCTTGAAATTCCCAAAGAACAAAATGATGTCATGCAACCCATTAGAATCTTTTTGAATTATGATGCTGTTGGTCATTCATGTGAGAGAGACTGTCAAAAAGTCGGGGACATTGTGAAGGCAAGTACTTATCATCGGTTGGAAAATGCTTATGAGAAATTTGATATATGTCTTTACTGATTTATCAATTTTCTTTCTGCTTAATTAGCTTGGGGAGCCACCAGGTGCTTCTTTTTCTGGTACATCTTCTTGTAATCCACATGGGGATCCTCCAGTTTATGGTGATTGCTGGTATAACTGCACTTCAGATGATATAGCTGGGGAGGACAAAAGGCATCGGCTTCGCAAGGTTTATCCTCTTTTTCTTAAATTGTCGCAGATGAGCATGTCTTTGGATTTTTCTGCTGCAAATTGATCTAGTATTTGCATGATGAAAATACCTGGCAAGATTAATGAATCTTTTAAAAAAAAGTTACTGATAAAAATGAACATGCGTGATAAGACTATCTATGTCATGCAATGCCATTTCTAATGCCAGTAATTAGTAGCAAGGCCTTGTTTTGTATAATATGTATTCCACAAAGTCTCTGAATATACAGTCACAGAGTTGACAAGTAGTCTTTTATCTTTGATAAAAGACAATATTTTAATATTTTTACTGTATCCAATACAGGCGCTTGAGCAGACAGCAGACTGGTTTAGAAGAGCATTAGCTGTTGAACCAGTCAGGGGAAACCTGCGGTTAAGTGGATATTCTGCTTGTGGACAAGATGGAGGTGTACAACTCCCAAGGAAATACGTTGAAGGTAATTTTATTCGGATTATCAGCTGTTTGGCATTCCTGATATTCTGTTGCGATCTTTTCATTTCTATTTGGTTCATTATTGTCGTGTTTGGGAAGAAATTGTCATATTGTTTTCCATGTATACTTCAGAGGGTGTTGCAAATGCGGATTTGGTTCTTTTGGTGACTACAAGGCCAACAACAGGCAACACTCTTGCGTGGGCTGTAGCATGTGAGCGTGATCAATGGGGTCGTGCTGTTGCTGGTGAGTGTTTTGTGAGCAAAAACATGTTATTGCATAAATTCTTTTATGGACACAGCTGCTAATCTGACATTTTCCGTTTTCAGGGCATGTCAATGTTGCTCCTCGCCATTTAACTGCTGAAGCAGAAACTTTACTTCAAGCTACTTTGATACATGAGGTGATGCATGTTCTTGGATTTGATCCTCATGCCTTTTCTCATTTCCGTGATGAGAGGAAACGTAGACGTAATCAGGTAATTATCAATTTTTGCATGTGATATAACCTAGCAGAGGAGCACCAGTAGAAACTCATGTTAGTAAGAGTTCATAGCCTGCAATATATCTCCCTTTCCCTGCAGTGGTGATCTCTTGAAAAAGATCATCAACAAAAAGTTATGTGTATTCTTGCTTCCAAGTAGAGGATATACACAAATTCTGATATTCTTGTGTTAGCATTGCTGCAGAAACTAAAAATATGGTGATAGACTAAAATTTTCCTTCTCTTTTTGAGGAACTAAAAAATAGGTCGGCCAAAAATGTGATACATCTACCTAAACATGGAGCAAATGTACCTACTTTTATTTATAAGAACAATAAAAGACTAAGCATGGTGTGCACTTTCTTAGGTTTCGTAGTAGAAAAAGACATTTGTTTTTATTATTATTTATCCATTTCGTAAACAACTTTTAGTACATCTTATTTTGGAATTATGTCAAATATTTATGACATAGATGAAAGATTATTGTCCACTAGTCTGGTTTCTATGAGATTTTGGAAAGCCCTAACGTAATTTGCTCTTTTCTGTGGTCGATTGTGTTCAAACTGTTGAAAGCGTTTGCAAGTTGATTCTTCTGTTAACTTTTTTGAGAAAAAGCTTATGATTAGTCAATTGTTTTTTATTTTATTTCAATATCTTGATAAGCACATGGTTAGTCAATTGAATTGATCATCTTCCGTTTTTCTTTTATGATTATTTCAAGAGTGCGATTTATTAGTCAATTGAAAGAAGTCGGGATGTAGGAAAAAAGAGACTAGAAGATGGGGTGAAAGAGGTGCGAAGGGGAAATTTTTCCAAAATGTTGAAGTATAGTCGTTCAGCTTATTATTACTGTGTTCTATCTCTTCCCTTTTGATTGCAATTCGATGTTCGGCAACTACATTATACTCCAAATATAGGAGATTTTCTATTCAACTTATTTATTACTGGAAAGACTGTGTCAAACCTTATAAATAGTTTATTTGAACAATTGGAAGTTGCGGATGATGCTCAAAACTTGCCCAAACTGATTTAATTCCTCCTAGTCTACATTTTTTGGTGCTCTCTCCTCTTGTTTGCTGTAACTTGTCACTGTTATAGGGCATATAGGATTCCCAAAAGTGAAGCACCGCCTTTCTCTGTCAACTATGTGGACTATCCCAAATCTCCTTTTGGATCTAATATTTGCCTTCGAGGAATTCCCAACTTTTGTCTTCTACAGCATCTGTAAAGGATGTTGCCTCTTTCTCTAGTTCGTGTGCCCATTTCTGGATATATCAAAAATCCTTTCAACACATGTATTTTTTTCATTATCTTTATTTGCTAAAAAGGAACTCTGTATTGTGCTATTTTTAAGACAGTCAAGGGTCCTAAACCTGGTTATGCCGAAACATGTGCATTTACTTGTCATTTCCATCTGTAGGTTACTGAACATGCAATGGATGAAAAGCTTGGACGAATGGTAACTCGAGTGGTGCTTCCTCGAGTTATCATGCATGCTCGCTATCACTATGGGGTATATTCTATAGTATTTCATTTTCATAAGTTTTCCTTCTCTAATTCCTATAGCGTATTTTAGCTAGTTTTTAGCCACGTTAAATTTATGGGCAAAGGTATAATACCCTTAACCAGTTTATCCCTTCAGGCATTCTCCCAGAATTTCACTGGACTGGAACTAGAAGATGGAGGTGGACGTGGTACATCAGGTTGATAATTCTCTTTTCTCCCGGTCTTTGAATATGTCCCTCTGAGATACACGCACTTGCATTTTCATGGTTCCAGGATGTCAACTTTATAGTGTATTTTTGCTAAATAAATATGGATCCATTGTGTAATTAACAAATTGGTGCAGGTTCTCACTGGGAGAAAAGGCTATTGATGAATGAGATCATGACCGGGTCGGTGGATACAAGATCAGTGGTTTCAAAAATGACTCTTGCTTTACTTGAGGACAGTGGATGGTACCGCGCTAATTATAGCATGGCTGACCGTCTTGATTGGGGTCGCAACCAAGGATCTGAATTTGTTACCTCTCCCTGCAATCACTGGAACGGAGCCTATCATTGTAACACTACCCAGTTATCTGGATGTACATATAATAGGGAGGCAGAAGGTTATTGTCCACTTGTAAATTATAGTGGGGATCTTCCTCAATGGGCTCGTTATTTTCCACAGGCTAACAGAGGTGTGCCATTATTCTTATGATAATTTCAAAGTCATTGAAAACTGATTTTTGTCTTGGATACACAATCTTGTCTACTTTGAACTTTTCCAGAGAAATAAGTTTAACTAATAATATCGTTGGGTAAATTCCAATTACCATTTACAAACCATTATTACTGGTTTAATAAGGTTCTTGAACTAGCTTCTTTTTTTTGTAACTTATGTTGGATGGCTCTTGCAGGTGGTCAGTCATCGTTGGCCGATTATTGCACTTATTTTGTTGCTTACTCTGATGGATCATGCACAGACACCAATGGTGCTCGTGCACCTGACAGAATGTTAGGTGAAGTGAGGGGAAGTAGTTCAAGGTGAGACGTTCTTCTGTAGCTTTTGGAGATCTACATCTAATTGGATATTTAGCTCACTAGTTTTAGTTTGAAACAATACAGGTGCATGGCTTCGTCTTTAGTGCGTACTGGATTTGTACGTGGCTCTATGACCCAAGGCAATGGTTGTTATCAGCATAGGTGCTCAAACAATTCGTTAGAGGTATGACTTCGGAAATTACTTGTCTGTTGTATTCAGTTATTCATCTTTTATTTTCATTTAGTTGCTTGTGCAAGAGAATGTATATTAGCTCATGAGAAGATAGTAACTGGAGATCGTTCTCTTCCATTCCTTTCTATTCTCAATCTCCGAGTTTGCAGTTTGGAGATCTAAAGACGTGAAGTTATATATTTGTAATATGCCTATACCACAATATACTAAATAACTCTATTCCTATTTATCCATTTTTATTTGGAATAGACTTTAGTACCTACAAGAAACAACATTCTTCTGAAGCATAACTGTAACAACTTCGTGAATATTGCCCCTTCTAATATTAGAAGGCTATTTAACCATCCGTGAGAATGCATAGTTTGAATAATGCAGAGATAAAAAGAGAAATAGTGGATGTAGTTATCATATTATTTTATTAGAAAAAGATAAACAGCCGTTGGAAAATGTGGAAATAGCATTTATGTCCTTCAAAATCAAAATTAAAATAAGTAGTAGTATTACTGAAGTCAATCTGATTATGGGAATATTGTAAATTGTCACCAAGGAGCGGTCAATATTGTATGATGGACTAAATTGGGCAATGGGTCATTAAAAATGGTACAGAGGCGAGTGTCATGTTAATATCTGTAAAAGTTCACGTGCTAGTAGTGAAATTTCAGGATTCCTCTTTCTATGCTTTAGATCTATATTTATCCTAGTTCATTTCTTCCAGCTTAGGTTATATGAAAAAAAAGAAACAAATCTCGGGGCAGAGTAGCTCACGTTTATCTATTATATGGTGACATTTCTCCGCAGGTTGCTGTAGACGGCATTTGGAAAGTTTGTCCTAAAGCTGGTGGACCTATCCAGTTTCCTGCCTTTAATGGTAATAATAGTTGTGATACTTTTGGTTAATCACTAAAGTGTCTCTTTGTTTACTTATGCAATTTTAACCCTCCTTTTCCTTTATTTTTTCTCAATTGTAGGTGAGCTAATCTGCCCGGCATACCATGAACTCTGTGATGTGGATCCAGTTTCTTTGTCTAGTCATTGTCCCAATTCATGCAATTTCAATGGAGATTGCTTAGGTGGAAAATGTCAATGCTTTATTGGGTTTGGTGGTCAGGATTGTAGCAAACGTGAGCTGCCATACTTTTTCTGTGATTTTGTAAACTTTTGGAAAGTCGGTTTAATTGGTGTGATGACTTCTGCGTTCTATTTACAGGCTCCTGTCCTGGGAATTGTAGCGGACGTGGCAAATGTCTTGGGAGTGGTGTTTGTGAATGTCAAAATGGGTATACGGGCATCGACTGTTCCACAGGTAATGTAGTATTATTGAAGCCATATACTTTGTCAGTAGCATATGTTAGTTATGCTGTAAAAATAGTCAACTCAGTATGTCGAACCAGCTCATAATTCTTGGAATAGCAACAAACAACAACAACAAACCCAGTGTTATCCTACAAGTAGGGCATGGGAGGGTAGAGAGACTGTTTTCGGCTTACCCTCGGCTCAGAAAAGATAAAAAGGAAGGAAATTCTTGGAATAGCAGTCACTCTTTTTTTTTTTTTAAGTAAAACAAATTATTTTTGAAATGGAGCTTGGAAGTAATCGAATTGAAGAAACCATTAGGTAGAGAAATATCTTGTAACTGTCAAATTTGACTACTCCTATAAGACAGCATTCTGCCTACATTTACTTTATGTTATACCTTATATTTATGCATGTCTCACTTTGTCCTTTAAATGATACATCACGCAAAGGATGCGTGAAGGTTGATTTGTTTACTTTAGCTTAAATTTTCTATGGTGATATGCAGCTGTTTGTGACGAGCAGTGCAGCCTTCATGGTGGGGTCTGTGACAATGGAGTCTGTGAGTTCCGTTGTTCTGACTATGCTGGTTACACGTGCCAAAATAGCTCCACACTTCTTCCCAGTCTCTCTGTTTGCAAAGACGTGCTTCAAAATGATGTATCGGGACAACACTGTGCACCTAGCGAGTTAAGTATCTTGCAGCAGCTGGAAGAAGTAGTGGTGATGCCCAACTACAATCGATTGTTCCCAGCTGGTCCTCGAAAAATTTTGAACATTTTTAGGGGTAGAGATTGTGATGGAGCTGCTAAACGACTAGCCTGCTGGGTGAGTTTCTTTATCCGCTATGTCCTCAACACTTGATGCGAAAAGAATTCTATGCTTTTTCTTGTTATTGATCTCAAAGAAGTTTATCATGCATTTGTGCGTAGAGTTTATTCATTGTTCTTGTCAAACTGGTTAAAAACAGATCTCAATCCAAAAATGTGACAATGATGGTGACAACCGGCTACGAGTGTGTCATTCGGCTTGCCAATCATATAATGTGGCATGTGGAGCATCTCTCGATTGCTCGGACCAGACACTTTTTAGCAGTGAACACGAGGGTAAAGGTCTTTGCACAGGTTGGGGCGAATTGGACGCTTGGTTTTAGAGGGCACTATTCAGGCAAAAATTGGTTTTAGAAAATGAATTTGGTGTAAATTGTAGGGTAGTTAGTTTTTTTTTTCTTTTTCTTTTTAATTGGCTTGTAATGTGTTGTAAGCTTTTTTCTCGGGTAGGAAAATGTGTGCGCGAAGCGCTCATAGGTTAGTGTTTTTTTTTTGGTTTTTAGTTCCCAGCCCAAATATCATTTGGTAAAAGATTTGGGTGGGAAATTAATTTGAGATTTTGGCTTTCAAAAATGAAAGTCTCAGATGTAGAGAAATTGTACAAGGACAAGGATAATAGAAAAAAAAAGAGGAGGAAAAATGAATTGGCCCAAGGCCTTTGCATCAATTAATTGTGTATTCATATTGGCTTGTACCTTACCTAATCCTTACTCTTCCTAGATTTTATGCTTGCTCTTTGAACTGTGGAGCATTTTACATTCTTTTGATTTAACATTTTTTTTTAATAATCGTGGTGTCGAGATAGTATTATATTTTATCTCTTCTATTTAAGTTCGTAGCTAGGTTGATATGCTTGGCTGAGTCTAATACTCGATTTCTAGCCTCAAGTTTGAGTTGAATTTGCGCTGCTCTGCGTGAGCATATTGGCCAAGTACTAATTGGGTCAAGAATTTAAATTTTATATATTGACAGTATCGCTTTGGTTTTCTTATTACCTAATTGTTGTGTCGGTTTTTTACTACTTTGATGGTGTTATTGTTTACTTGCTATTGCTTCTTTTTATCTTTTTTTGAGTTGATGGTCTATTGAAATAGTTACTCTATCTTTTCAAAGTAGGGGTAAGTTTGCATACCGACCCTACTTGTGGAATTGCATTGAATTTCTTGTTATTGTTGTAAAAGTTGGAGCTTTTGTTATTTTATATTCTGTTTTCCAACTGTTGTACAAACTTCCCCGCTAACCCCTTTAAATAGCTTGTTCTCTCGTAAGCTTCATCTTAAACTTAATCCAGAGATTAAAAATCCCAAGCAACTAATAGGCTTGGTTATTATATTCGCTGGAGCTATCAGGTCACCAATGATGAAGCTCTACATTGGATTAAACATTTAATTATTTATTAATCCATGTTAACATTTTCAGAACAGTCGAGCGTTTGGATATTAAATTAATAGAAAATTTCAGTGTCCTCGAGTGATCGATACTATTTTTTTAAGTGTTACTTCAGTTGCAATCCCCTGGAAATGGACAAATCCCACTGACTTCTGTCCTTTTTTTTTTTTTTTTTTTAATTTGTTCAACCAAATTTATCATTTAATCAACCAATGATTTGACTCTTCTCCGTCCGCAAATAGACCATTTTGAACTCCAATGTATAGATATACCTAATTTTCACAAGATTCGCACCGACCAAGAAAAGAATCTTTTCACCTCAAAATTATAATAAAATGGATTACTTTATTATTTTCACATAGTTTTAGATTAGGGAGCAAGGAAGAATCAGAGAGGTACACCTCCGGGGATGCCGTGGGACAGATAGAATTCTTCCTCCCGAGAGTTCGAGTCATGAAAATAAAAATCTTTTAGATCGAAAGTTCATGTTTTAGTTCGCCAAATTTTCTCTTGCTTCCTTATTGCAGTCTTATCAAAGAAGCTACTTTCTTTCAGGCTTTTATATCCAGGTATAAAGGAATAATAAGTCTTAGAGAGTGCCAAAAAATAACACATGCCTATCACTTTTGAAAAGTTTGGAACCTCGTTTCATCCGACTCAAGGAGAAAAGAGAACAAGATGTGGGGTGAGGTGGGGTGGGGTGGGGGTTGCACTTGCCTCCTCGTTCCCTTACCTATGCTATGATGCTCAAGGAGCTTATCTCGATTTGAATTTCCTTATTAGCGAGTTGAACTTGCTCTCTTGAGACGCCTTCCACTCATTCGTTAGAGTCGGACTCAATCACTCTTTTAATTTGAAGGATCATTCGTTATTCACTCTTTTGCTATTACCCGCGTAACAACCAAATAAATGATCAACCATATAATTTCATGAACTGCTTGGATAAATTGCGATAAAATAATAGGAAGTAAATGATAGTATTATTCTTGTTATTAAGGACCAAAACGTTACTAAATCAAAGACTAGTATCCTTATAACATTAAATTCTATCCATAATGCTAACTCAATGGAGATACAAAAATTAGTTCTCCTACAATAATAATAATAAAAATAAATTGTTAATCATAAAAAAACTTATGAATTGGTCGGACAAAATGTGATCAAATAATCAGTACCAGAGCAAGTGCAGGTACTTGTAGCATCATCATATGCATAGCTATAAGCAGTAGGGCACGCATCCTTAAACATTTTCGAATACTGCGTCGGCGAGCAAGTCGCCGGCGTTGCATGATCGCCGGTGCAGCAATACTCCGACGTGTTAAATTGTGCGCACGCGCTCTTACATGCCACCACTGCGCCGGTATCTATCACCTGCAACTCCTTCGGACAATTCAAGTTTAAATCGTTGACGCAACCAGCGTATTGGCAGTCGCCGGAGCCGCCGGTAGGCCGTACACCGATACCGACATTGTATCCGTCGACANCGTCGGCGAGCAAGTCGCCGGCGTCGCATGATCGCCAGTGCAGCAATACTCCGATGTGTTAAATTGTGCACACGCGCTCTTACACGCCACCACTGCGCCGTTATCCATCACCTGCAACTCCTTCGGACAATTCAAGTTTAAATCGTTGACGCAACCGGCGTATTGACAGTCACCGGAGCCTCCGGTAGGCCGTACGCCGATACCGACATTGTATCCATCGACGAGGCTAACATCGTAAAAGTCCTTCTGATCGTTGCCGTTAGCATTAGCAATGGTGAATTCAACTAGACTTACCGGCGGTTCGCCGCCACCGATGCACTTCAATGCGCCGCAGTCGCCGGTTTTACACTTACCGTTGCCGGAATCGTCGAAGCTGCAACCGGTTCTCGCCCAGAACCGGCCGGACCATCCACCAGGGGCGGAGAGTTGGATTGTTGCGCCTGGAGTTAATGCAAAACCGGCGTCGCCGGAAATAGAAACTCCGTTGCCGGAAAGAGTACCAGGCCAAACTGTGTAACCGCAATTATTTTGAAGCGTAAACTGCGTGGCTGAAACAGCAATTGCTTCTGCAAAAAAAGGTAAAAAGCTGTTACATGCTCTGTTTTGTTAAAATGTATGAACGTATAAAGCAATAAAAAAACAAAAAACAAAAGATACATTCACTTGACCCTGGTATTAACTACGACATCTCAATTTCAAATTAGTTAAAATACACTATATATATGAATCTCTAAGAATAAAATCTGGAAAAAAAAAAACAGATGAAAACATACTGAACATGAAGAGGGCAATTAGGAGCAAAAGAGGCTGTTTTTGCAAGGCGGCCATATTTGGAATTAATTAGCAGAGGAAACAAACAATTAAGGAGTATAATGGTAGTAATTGGGGGGAGAAAATCGGGGAAGTGGAGATTCAGCTACTAGATTTGTGGAAGTTAAATTTGGACTATCAAAGCGTTGGATTCTCTGTCTATTTATAACCCATTATTCCCATATCCCACCTCACCCGTCCCATCACGTAGTAAAAATAATTTGCATGAAAAAACCAGTGTCTATAAAAAAAAATACTACTTATTTTACCTTATTATTATGATATTATTAGTCATGCACAATTTTATTTATAAAACAAAAACGGTATACTATAATATGGAATTTTATACATATTAAATCTTTTTATACTTCAAATTAGACGGAGCCTTGTCATTCTCTTTAATTAGGTCGAAAGAGTGAGACTAATATGTTTATAGTATTCCCCCCCGCCCTGTGTATAGTATTTAATTACCATTGATGGAATTTATTGGGTATCTGCATATTTACCATGACCTGTGTTGTGTGCGAATTTGTAGGCGAAAACATTGATTTCTTTGCGTGCTATTTAAAATCCCATAGATTTTATTGCCATGCAAAGCTATCTTTGTGGTCAAGTTCCATTAACTACATGTACACGCAAAGATTTCGTTTAATGGCAATTAAAAACTTTTAGATTTTTCCAAAAATATATGACACTCCCTTTGCCTTTGGTTATTTTTCTCTATTTACTTCATTAATTCTCCGGTTATTAGTAGAAAACATCTCCAGCAAGCACGGATTCAAAACCTCCTATTCCCTCCGTTCCAAAAAGAAGACCAATTTCTAAATTTGAAAATAATTTAGCTTAAACTTCTAATTTTACCCTTAATAAGAAACTTGTATAACCACATAAATACTCTCGACCCCTTTTTGACTTGTTTTGGACTACAAATTTCAAAAATCTTCATTGTTTCTTAAACTCCGTGCTAGTCAAACAGGTTCACATAAATTGGAACGGGGGAGTATTAATTACCAGCTCCATCTTAAATTTTCTAAATAAAAGCATGATGGAATTTGCAAATTCTACAATTTTTTTACTTTTAGAAAAAAACTTAAAATTCTAGCATGGAGTTGTGATGACCCAAAAGGTCATCTTATGTTTTAGAACTCGAATCTGCGCTCTTATGCCTTAAAAATCTTATTTTTACCCTCTTCGATTTGCGTGCGCAGTCCGGGCGTGTTTTCGGAAAATTTTTATGTTGAAAATTGATGAAAATAAAAAATTTTGCCTTAAAAGTTGATTTTAGTTGATTTCGACCAATATTTTTGGTAAACGGGTCCAGATTCGTATTTTAACGGTCCCGGTGGGTCCGTATCGAATTATGGGACCTGGGCGTATGCCCGGAATCGAATTCGGAGGTCCCTAGCTCGAGTTATGAATTTTTGATGAAAATTTAAAAGCTTGTAAATTAATTATTTTTAAGAATTGGTTGATGTTTGGCTTTGTTGATACCGGGTCTGTATTTTGGTTTTGGAGCCTGGTATAGGTCCATTATAATATTCATGACTTATCTGTGAAATTCATGTGAGCGGCGTATATGTGAGGTGACGAGTACTTTTTTTTTTTTTTGCCTAAGAGCTAATATATAAATAAAATCCCAAAAATGGGTCTAATGCTTACAAGCTGTCCAAACCAAAAATCAAAATAGAAGTTGCATGAAGCTACTAGCTATTAAAAAAGATAGAAAAGCTAAAATCTAATGAACTAACTATTACAACATGATAAGTCCAATGCTTCCTTCTCCTATTAGTGTATGTGAATCCAATTGTCATTGGCAAATACCAAGCAGCACCTATCAAGCTCTCACCAGGTGCCAGGGTATATTGTCCATAGTCTAAAATGAATTCCAAACATCTCTACCGCAGAGTTGAAGTCTGCATCGTCCTCCAAGTGCCGCTACTATATGATCTCCATATGCAGTGGATTGATTTTGTTCAAGTATTAA